TTTTTGAGTTCCTATTTCCGTCCGGACCCCGTCTGTTACGTCTTACTTGATCGTTATCGGGCGGACTTGCCGTTTTGGTGTTTTCGAGCGCTCACCTCTGTTCTTTAATTATGCTAAGTATTCCACATGATTATTGCTACCCCGGGTTTTTTCCATTTTGCTAGCTTGCTGCTGTTTGTTGCGTTCGAACGATTCCCTTGCTAAATTCCAGCGGCGTTTCGCATGCGGAAATCTAGAAATAACGACAAGCATAATTTATTGCTCTGTCGTTTAGTTAAGCGAAATTCTGTAATAATTTATTTTTGCTGGCAAAATTCCAATGAAATGCAATTGTAGCAGCAGCAATAATAATAAAATTGTTCATCGCGGATTAACAATTATGTGAAAATGAGCAAAGCCAAATATTAGGTGAGCCAGTACATTGTAAAGCCAGTAACAGATTACTAATAAACAATAAGTCAGTTTATCACATTTAACCGTAAAGTTTGCTGGGAAATTAAATTTGCCAGTACAGTTACTGTACTTTCCTAGTAAAGAACCTATCAACTTCACTTCTCGTTCAGTACGGCTTTTTTTAAACCAACAAAAATAACGTCGTAAAAGTAAGGATTTTCGAAATTCATGATCCAAGATTTGTCTGATGCTTCAAAATTACGAATTTCTGAGGAAGAGTACGATCCCAAAAAAGGGGAAAAAGACTGGGTAAAATAATGCTCCAAAATGCAGAATTCTCGAAATTTGTAATTGAGAAATTTGAAATATATAAAACAATTTTCTTCAAGTAGTACGGATTTCTGATTCTCATAATTCGAAAAATTTGAATGAAACGACGACACAAATCTTAGGCATTCATAGAGCGGAAACTTTAATAAAATGGTGCTTTAAAAGTACAAATTTTTGGAGCTGGAAATCCGGATGTATATTGCCCGAAAACCCTCACCAATTTTTCCAGGGGAGAGGGGGGAGGGGAGGTTTGAGGATTGGTAGTTTAACATCAACAAGCTGCTGGAAAATGATCAAGATTTTCCCGGATAAATTTTCATGAAAATATGTATCGGTACTAAAATTTTCGGAAATCTAAGAGGATTCTTTAAGAAATGATCGAACACTGGAAGTGCTTGGCATTGTTGAGCATCCGGAACTGGTATCAGACTGGAGCTTTCCATAGCCGCCCTCATCTTCCTCATCGTTCCTCCGATCTATCAGAAGTAGTGGTAACGATGATATCTTACCTGGTTCTGCTAAAGGTGTATCTCTACGAATCCTGCTCAAAATCGTCGAATTTGCTTGGAGGAATATTTTGAATTGTTTCACCAGGGTCCACTGGATAGCCCAAATACTGAGCGGTCGCATGTAGCCAATTGCACGATAGTAACGCTTCTCGTAAAGTGCTTCCGGAGTTTGAAATTGCAAACCGAAACGATTGTAACATGCATCGTAGCAACCCCAGGCTGTCTCAAAACCTCGTTGCATCTCACCCTGAAATTTGTCAGTCAAATTTTTGGGAAAAAATTTGATATGCCTAAAATTAAAAATCGAATATTTATAATATATACATATATGCCAATGAATGGATCAGTTTTTGTGACACATTGAAATAACAGCTAGAAGGCCACCGATGCGCTAGGCGGATCTGCCGCTAACTCGAATCTGCTAAGTACCGATGAATGCGGAGAGCCCAGGCCCGAAGTTTCTGGTGTGGTGATCGGCTATACCATTGGAGAAAGTTCTGAATAGTTTCTGGAAAAAGTTTTTTATAAAACTTTCAGTTACTAATAAGTCTTTTTTCGCTTTAAAATGCGCTATTTTAGAAGAAATGAGCTTTTTCAGAAATGCCAAAGCTGTGCAAAAAAAAACGTATATCTGTTCCCATGATGTGCAACGCTGTTTGCTGGTTTTTATGAATAAGCAAAAACGTCTGAATTTTGGCCTAACTCATCTATAACTACAATATTCCAGTCAGCTGTAATTGTCAATATCCTGGTCAATTGGCCAACATTTTGGCCAGCATCTGAACAGTTAATTCCCCATCAAAAGTTGAAGAGAAAATATGAACGGAAGAAAACGAAGAAAAGCGAAGATGGGGAAAGTGGACTAAGGAGACCATCTCTGCATCTGCTAAGTTTTCCAGTTGCTTTGACCAATGTCCAATCGCCAGAGATGAACAGTCCACTGACAATATGACGCTCGTTTCTTCTTCTGAAGGGATTATTAGGTCTCCTAGCAGGAGTACTTAACAAGGTTTTAGCTGCTTTGAGAGGTCACTACTGCATGTTGAACGCATCGCTGCCTCGCCGCTAAAGTTGCCAATTCTAAACTACGACTATCTAAAATTACTGACTAGGAAAAAACCAAAAATTTGAATTTAAAGGGAATTTGCCAAAAAAACCAAAAAACCAAAAATTAAATAAATGGCCAACGCACGGGCTGCCCGTGCGAAGATGCGTTTTTTGCAGAGCTCCCCGCA